GGCCGCGGGTTCGTATCCACCACCCGCGCCCTCGGCCCCGCCGTGAAGACGGCGGCCTCCTTGGACCCGTACAGAGCAGGGGCACGAATACACTGAAGTCGGGGCCCGGGGTGGTCTAAAGGATGTGTTTTGGGTGCATCCCTACCATGCAGCGAAGACGAAGCTTTCTCACCTCCTGATTAGAAGGGATCCTCGCAGCTTCACACAATTCGTCTCCCCCAGTGTTCAGAAATCCCGTGCAGGAGTCACTGCCTCCGCTGGCTGTGAACTCAAAGTGCTTCACCTACTCATGTTATATCCAACTGTTTGGACTAAAAAGTGTTCCCCGAACCGCGCCGGGCAGCCCCCTCCGCCTGCCGCTCCGCGCTGGGAGCTCCGTTCCTGCACTGCGGCTCTGCCCTAACCCTAACCCGACCGGTCAACAGCAGAGACCAGCACCGATCCCCCCAAGTGGTGCCACCGTCTAGGGGAACAGCCAGCACCGCACAGCAGGTTGGGTAATTTAGACCTTCCTCTCCTGGCGAGGTGATTTGTCCTCAGCGGGACCGACTCTTATCCTGGACGTGGCTTTGCCTTCTGTGCGGTGGCGGCCTGTGGGCCTCGGGGGGCCTCCAAGTCCACACCCTGCAAAGGGCAGAAGCATTGCAGGCGGGGAAGGCAAAGCCATATCCAGGGTAAGAGTCTCTCCTGGTCAGGCCAAATCACTGCCCAGGAAAGGAATCCGAACTACCCAAGTTGCTGCCTGGTAGCTAGCTGGTCTCCATTTGAGGGGACACCATTTGAGGGTGTCACGTGGCGGCACCATTTGAGGGGATCAGTGCTGGCCCCATTGTTGATTCGTAGGGCACTCAGCAGTGCTGGTGGTACCAGATGAGCCTCCTGAGGAGACGTCCACGTGGTTGAGACCTCCAATGGCCTCCAGTCCTGTCACCAGTGTGGGTCACTGAGCCTGGGGATGAGATCGGCTGACGCCCACAGGGTGCTCCATCTTGCCCACCTGGTTATCGAGACCTTATTGCAAGTGTGCTTTTTTTTTTTTTTTTTTTTTTTTTT